ACATACACTTGACATATTGAAATGTATTCATATTCCTGGGGTGATTTCTCACACATTACCATACATTAAAATGAGCGTTCTGTAGTATGTTTCCACACTAAAGAGACTGATGTGCTTTTTCTGCACATTCATCCTGACCGCGGGAACTTCCCCTGACGAGGCATGCAGTTAGACTTGACTTCTGACCGCGGGTAATGAAATGCCTGGTTCATTAGTGTAGCCGGGACAAAAGGCCACAGAGTCAAAGACGTCGTATTCATATTGCTCCACCTGCTGCGAACCTTCAGCACGTGGACCCTGAGACTCTTCTACACCAGAGAGTCTACCAACTGCTCCAAGTCTGGAATTAAACTCAAAGCCCACGTTTCTCTGCTGTTCAAATATAAATATATACATTTTAAGCACGTTGAGAAATCGTCAGTGTAACAGTTGGTAGGCAGCTGTCAGCACAGACTGACTGTAGGTTGACGTCTTTCAAGGAATCTTACTACAAATGATCCAACTTTCATTTAGTTCTGAGCTATTTTTTTCAACTCCACCAAGTTGGTTTGTTTGTCATATGACATTTTCACCAAAATGGCTCTCAAAAAAAAAAGATCAGGCATATTTAGCGGACTGACATTTATGAGTGTGTCCAATTTGGTGCAGATCCAAATAACAGTTCTGATCTAGCAGATTTAAATGTGGTTTTGTGGGATTGTCGGGCCTTGGCAGAGGTCTCTACTCATCTGAGTGTTATTCTCAGACTCCGACAAAGCTCAAATATAGACATAGAGTTTGAAGATTATAGTAATTTTCATCACAGATCTCAAACTGGAAGGTTTTATGCTGACAAGTGTGAATACAATGTGTGCATTTTTATATTATCTAGAACTAATAATGGTGTGGTGTGTGTGGTGTGTATGGGACCTGAGAGACTCTTGAGGTGATATAAATCCAGGGAAGGATATAAAACAACTTGAGGATGTTGGGGTCTCACAGGAAAATAATTCAAGAATGAATTTCTGTTCAAAAACATTGAATTATAATTATCACAAGGATCAAACTGTTTAATGTTACAGCAAACTGAACGACCGGCCAATATTAGCGTTCGGTCAAAGAGGTGACAGAGAATTAAAGTTTTGCTGAGGTGGCACATTATGAATGACAGCAGTCGGAGCAGCACTTTCTGGGCAACATGTCAGAAATACTGAGAGACGTCACGACTCGGAAACCAGCGTGAGACGACTCGCTGGGATTCAGTGCCGTGTGCAGGAAACAGCTCAGCACCGGACGAACAACATCCGTGCAGCCTCATGCTCATGGCTGCATTTCACAGCTCTGAGGGGACTGGGAAGAATAAATGCAGCCAAATGTGAAGCCTTATGTTATGGACAGATTGTGCTGCTACAGGAGGGAGAGAGTGTGTTTATGAATTCAGGATCCCACTGATTAAATGTAGATCAGTTCTTGGCTTCAGCTTAATTTAGGCTAATGCCCAATTATAGGAAACAACCGTATAATTGCTCCGCCCTCGCTCAGCCGGCGTTACTGTAATGTGAGGGAGGTCAGCACTGCAGGACAGAGGAGCAGGAGGAGCTGATGAGTAAATGAAATACACACGATCAGTGAGTGATGATAGTAAATGATTTAACCTCATTTAATAGGATGATATGAGGCAAGAAGGAGTCGCCTCTTTCTACCTGATTGGATTTGAAAGAAGAGGTTGAAATGAGCCAAGAGGTGGAGCCTATGCACGATTAAATGAAAGTCATCAATGAACAATAAGAAGCAAGCAAGATTTAATAAAATAAATAATAAACTGCACTGACGCTAAGCTCCGTATCAAATCACAGCCCTTCTGTGTCACTGCAACAGCTCCAGGACAAGAAAGTGACAGTCCTCGTGTGACCCAGTAAAAGCCAGGTCTGAAATCCCTTTGCAAAATCTGTGGACAGACCTCAGTGTCGCTGCTCACAGACGCTCCACTTTCAGGCTGCTGGAGACTATCACTGCAAAATATAAATTTTCAAAGTATTGGATATAGACGGTAAAATGATGGAATGCCAATATTTCATTTTCAGTAAGTCAGAAAAACAATTCCATCGTCTCTATCGCCACAAAAAAGTAATCTCCATTTTTAAATTATGTTGCAACACTATAAAATGTGGTCAGTGAGGCTGTGTTCAGTTTTAAGTAGCTTTCCAGCCTGTGTCAAAACTCATCGCCAACTACAGAACGAAATCCTGCGATGGGCCTCACTTGAACCTAAATCCTGACAGAAATTGGTTGAAAGTGTGAGGTTGCAGAAACGGAAAAAAGGGACACAGCACCGGGCCATATCTCTCCGCAAGCCAAATGAAAACTCAGGGCGATGCGTCAATCACAAGACTAGTCACAGTGACGGACACAGTGAATGAGAGTCCAGCAGCTAAAAGAACCAGCTGCCTGCAGGCCTCACACAACGTGACCTTGTCAAGGTCGAGGCTGCTTAAACTGAGAGATTTGAGTTTCAAATCCTGTAACAGGGTAGGGAACATTTCATTTGGCTTCAGCAGCTGCAGACGGCCGTCACACAAATCTCCCACAAACACTTGTTTCTGTCACTTAACAGAGGACGTCACATTGAGTCTCAGTAACTCTTTACCCTTAACTCTGCAACATTAACCACAAACACCACACCCCTAACCCCCAAACTTTATAAATACCCAAACCATGAAGGTACTGCAGATATAACAAATGGTAGCTTTAATTGTCAGTAGCCCTTCTAAAAACATACACACTCACAGATCTATATAGTAACAAGTCACAGGATCTTGTGACAACAGCAGGTGCATCCAATTCCCTACAGAGGGCATCTGAATGACAGATATAAAAGGACACAACTTAATTAATATCTGCATGTGATCCCTGGCATCAGAGAGATTGGTATGTTCCACACGAAACAACAAGCCAGCGGACCAGCTGACCAGTTCCTCTAATGCTCCGGTGAGAGTGACAGATCTGCCTGACGTTTGGGGTGGGGGTGTCTGGTATTGACAGACGGAGTGCATGAGGCAGAAATGAATCTGCCGCATGCACTGAGGTGATTGTCGAGAGAGACGACGCACGTAGTTTTCTTCTGACGTGCAGTTAATGCATCAAATCATCTGTCACAGGGTGTTGTCACGTACAGTACAGGCTTGTCATTAGACCTCGTGATACGGCGCTCGCTACTATTCATGCCAAACATCTCACTCATGTATAAGTGACAGCTGTGCAAATGATGTGTAGCTGCATGTTAACGTCCTTCAGTATTCTAATGAAAGGGCATTCAACGGTAAATAATTGCTAAAATGCAGAGTTGTTCATAAAAAGAGGGGACACAGCAGCGGTGTGTGTCTTCAGGCAAAGAGCATAATGAGATATTTGAAGCGAATGTATTTCACTTGAGAGCGGCTGAAGATGGCAGTGGCTGTCCGTCACCTCTCCGTGTGCAACAGTGTATTCATATGTAACTTTGTGATAACTGACCTGACTGTGGATCATGTTCGCCTGACATGCACAGTGTGGAGTCCTCACTGGCACTTAGAAAAAACGCATTATTTAGTCACAGGGGCTCCCTTCCTGTCACTTTTCAGCGACATCAAAAGGTGACAATTGAATTCGAGATGAAGTTCACACACACACACACACACACACACACACATTTGTATACACATGGAATCACCGAGGGGAATCTACCGAATATTTGTATGCATTCACACAGGCACAGAAATGTGCAGATGATTTCCCTCTCAACATTCAGCCTTCAGGCTCTTTTCCTGTGGCTTATGTAACAAAGAAGCAGCAAAAACAAATTGATTTTTCTAAAGGACTTTGTTGGTGTTTTTCCACGTTTTAGCATATTTATAAATTGTGTGCACATGACCTTTCCCAAAAACACACAGGACCTTTTTTGGATTCGGAATGTGCATTACTCTAAAATGTCAGTGCGGTGAGAACATGAAGACCCTTGAACCTTGATTTACTTACTAGTGCAGTGTCCGTTCTAAACCTGCCTGTTTGGAATGGTCTGTTTTGTTTGGCCTGTGGTGACGCTGGTTCCAGCTTTTCTTTCTTAAATTGTAAAAGTGACCTGCAGTAACTTAGCCAGCTGCGGGACTCAGTCCACAGAACCCTGAAGCTGCTCAACCACTGCTGCACAAAGAGCTGTTCACCTGTTTTCTCAAAGTTTTTTAAATATTGAACTGCTGACATTCTAATCCGCATTTATGCTTGACTCATCCACCCATCACCCTCCCGCAGGAATTTCTTTCTCCAATTTAGAGACCCCCCCATCCACATGAACATTCCGAAAACAAAATAGCATTCGCTGTGCCAGGATTTAGGCCTCGATGATGCACCTGGCAGAGCTGAATTAGCGCTCACTCCCAGTGCTCACTCGCAGGATTCACAAGATTCTCTTTGCAAGATGCTGCAGCAGTGGGAATGAGCGGCCTTGTTTCTCGCACAAAGAAAGCACACTGTCGTCTGATGACTCATCCAATTACTATTAATCAGAAGTGCTAATTTGTCAGACCCTACTCACCGCGCTGCGTATCACTAGCGTGTTCAATCACTCCACTTCAACACTGCATTTCATTGGACCATGCATACACATGCATGGTTCTCGAGTTATGCACTGCAGATGATTAACACACTTTTCATGGCTCTCAATTAGTATAAAACCATCACCCTGGCTTGAAATCTTGTTGTTTTTTTGTCTATGTGGTTGATGTTTTGTCCTCTGTGAGTCAAAATTTGTTCCATAACCTTCTCCACACTGTGATAAATGGCTGATAGAAAGGTTGGAGAAAGTAAATACGATAAATTGGAGCAGAGCAGTGGTTCAGTCCTTTTATCCGGCTGATAACTTCAAAATGAACGATTTGGCATTCTCTCTGCACAATCCCTCACGCTCTCTTTATCGCATTCATTTGGATGACCAATTTGCTGTCAGTGACTCATGTCCTCTTTCTCTGTCTGTGTTTCGTCTGCAGGGAACATCTTTGTGGTGAGCCTGGCAGTGGCAGACCTTGTGGTGGCCATCTACCCGTACCCTCTGGTCCTCACCTCCATCTTCCACAATGGCTGGAACCTGGGTTACACGCACTGCCAGATCAGCGGCTTCCTCATGGGCATCAGTGTCATTGGTTCCATCTTCAACATCACCGGCATCGCCATTAACCGCTACTGCTACATCTGCCACAGCCTCAAATACGATAAACTGTACAGTGACAAAAACTCTGTGTGCTATGTGATGCTCATCTGGGCTCTGACTGTTGTGGCCATCGTGCCCAACCTGTTTGTGGGTTCACTCCAGTACGACCCGCGGGTTTACTCCTGCACCTTTGAACAGTCGGCCAGCTCGGCGTACACCATCGCAGTGGTTTTCTTTCACTTTATTTTACCCATAATGATTGTCACCTACTGCTACCTGCGCATCTGGATTCTGGTTATACAGGTGAGGAGACGGGTCAAACCAGATAACCGGCCCAAGCTAACGCAGCATGACGTCAGGAACTTTGTGACCATGTTCGTGGTGTTTGTGCTCTTCGCCGTTTGCTGGGCACCACTCAATTTCATCGGCCTGGCTGTAGCAATCAAACCGCAGGTAGTGATTCCCCTCATCCCTGAGTGGTTGTTCGTGGCCAGCTACTTCATGGCCTACTTCAACAGCTGCCTTAACGCCATCGTGTACGGCGTGCTGAACCAGAACTTCCGGCGCGAGTACAAGCGCATTGTAGTCTCAGTGTGTACGGCTCGCATCTTCTTCCAGGACAGCTCCAACGACGCAGGAGAGCGGCTCAAAAGCAAACCGTCACCACTCATGACGAACAATAACCAGGTCAAGGTGGACTCCGTCTGAGGACACGAACACATGTGACTTTAAAAGAACATATTAAAAAAAAACATGAGCAAGAAAAATACCAAATATACATTTAAAACAGTGTCTATCCTCTGGGCTGTTCACAGACAGTCCTAC